CACATGATTATCAGTCCTTTCTGTTGCCTTTTCCAGTTGACTTAACCTGGTGATCGAAATCTTTGAGCATTCCCTTTCAATTGTCCTCTTTCCACATATTGCCTCTCTTGATGTGATTCTTTCTGTATGGAATGCGTAAATAACTGATTGAGAGCACATAACCTATAGATGGTCAGATTCAACTGCATTCACATTTTTTGTTGCTCCATTGATACGATTTTAATCTATTTAATGTGCAACTGATCACGGGCTTTTGTTCTACATGTTTCGCTTTGATGTGTAAACATCCTGCGAAAAGCATATAATTATTTATTCCATCAGCCATTATAGTGTAGTCCTCATCATAGTAATGTTTTTCGCATTCTGTTCCTGGATTTGTGATCCGGAGAATCCCACTGTTTCTCACTGTTACGACTGTGCTCTGTTTCATCGTATGTGTCCAGGCTCCACAAACCGTTCACGAATTCCGAATAGAGTCCATGTCCTCATCCAGGCTGGACGCGTCACCACCTCGGCAACAACGGATCCCAGTCCAGTCCGCTGAAAATGCCTCCGTTCCGAGTGAGTACACTTTGTTCGTTATCCATATTATGCAAGTCGGGTTGGATCACGTGATCATCAATCAGCTAACCACGCGAATCCCCGTTAAGCTTCTTCTAATTCCATTCAGAGAACGACCTCTTTTTCCTTCATTACTTCGAAATTTAGCATGGTCATCAAATATCTATCTGCTACGTCTAACGACAGTGGCAGGTAAAATATATATACATATATATATAAAATACCCCACGGAAACAGTTTCGTACTCCGTCCTCTTCATGAGTTTTCGCAATACCTCACAATCATGGTATTTGATAGTGCAATCGAAAACAGTCAGGTCATAATGAGCCACTTTCCTGATTGTCTTACTCTAATTCATGCAACAGATGTCCCCAATCGATTTCCCTATTATTGGCTCAATTTCCACGTCTTGTTTTTCGATCTAGAAACCTTTGGCAAACATGATCCCTACACTGATGGTGATTACAACGCTGCTGTAAACGGTGAGAGCGAGGTCAGCACAGAATCCTACTTGAACTTGAGAGACAAGGTGAGTGAAATTGTTCCCTCGGTTTTCAACTTTTCAGCCAGTTAGGTGTCACTTATGATCTGTCCCGTTACTTCGTTAACGAACCCATTTTTGTCCCGCCGCTCTCCGTCACGTTCTGTTGGTCATTCGGTGTGATTACGTGTTCTTTGATTTCGATTCACTTTGGACTTTATTATCTATGAATAAAACGGACTCGGTCTTACCGAATAAATAGTTGCAAATGACCAGCGACAGTGTCCGTGGATACGGGTCAAACTAATAAAACACCATAAGAATCTGATGGCAGTTTTGTGATGCTGAGACTCTTCCCCCACCGGACACTAATAGGCATTGTGTCGGTCCACCTATTCCATGGGATTGTCTATATTTGGCAAATAAACCTAAATGCTGCTCTGAGGGTTCTACTGGGACATGCCAAGGCTAGAAATGCAACCCCAAATAAAAAAGCTTGCACTTACCCGGGATCTTGCCTGTAATCCTACTCGTGTGGATCTCTATGATTAGCTGTGGTTCAATTGGTCCTCTACTGTAAAACGCTCGGGTAAAAATGAGTATAGACGTTGTTGAATAATCTTTGCACCCAGTGACATTATCGCTCAGATCAGGATCGTGAAATCCGCCTAATGTTCTGTTCACAGAAAATATGGCGCATTCTGTCGATGTTCACTGCGCTATTCGATTGGTTCATAAAACAGCACTGATTGCTTGGTCCCGACTTCCCATTGGAATCAAAGTTAAACTACTCCATTTGCAAATTCCCTCATCCGAAATCTCACTCAGATGATGTCTACCCATCGAGGCGAGCTTTTCACCTTCCGGTTTTTGCTGTTAGTCTGCCTGTTGAAATCCCTTGCCCCATAGGAAAATGCAATAAACTAAAGCACAAAAATATCAAAAGTTTACGGCAAAACAAACCGAAACATTGTTATCCTCGTTATTCAGCTTAACTGTTTGACTCCCTTTCAGTCTGCTTTATATCCCAACCACCCATAATCCATTATTCTTGTTGCGTTGGCACCAAGTTGCTAACAAGCCGGTGCTAAACAAAGGTA